GATGCCCACTCTATCCACAGTTATGTATAGACTGCGCCCATCAACACCAAGAGCAAACTAGCGAAGACCCCTTAACCCAAGCTAAAATGCACCTTCAGGCTCAAGCGGAAAGAACTGTATGGTAAAAACGACTGCGTGTTTACGTGGCACCCAAAAATGAAAAACCAAAAATAAGCCCGCATGGGACCTCGTGATCTCTCTCTGTCTGTATCTTTTTAGGGTTTTATTCCTTCTACAACTGACGTTTATTCCCTGTTTTGATCAAACCCGTTGCCTCAAAAAAGCATTTGCATCTCTCTGTGTAATTTCTTTGTCACATTCTTTTCAACTTGTTTGCATTTGCTAGTTGTTCTTTTTTTTTTTTTTTTTGCAAAAGGAAAACCTAAAAGCTACCACAAAGTGAACCAACTTTTTCCAGTAGAACTGTCCAAAATTTTTCATGTTGCTGCAAACAAAAGATGCCCCCCACCCCTCCTTCTCTCTCTTTTTCTTCTCTTGTCTTCTTTGTTTCTTTGAGTTGACTTGAGATAGAGATAGAGAAGGCAGCCAATAGAGGGGAGAAAAGAAGCTTGCCACCAACTCCCACTGCTCCTTTGTTTCTTTGAGGCACGCGCATTTCAGTAGCAGAAGGTGATGGTGATGATGATGTGTGGTTGCTCGAGCTGCTATGACCCAGAAATGGGGGAGGAATTGAAATATTTTTTTGTAATTAATCACTCAAAAGTTCATTAAACTAACCATGGGAAATATAAAAATGTGGGTCACTATCAAGCGAATTAATAACAGAAGCTGACATCACAGAAGGAAATTAAACTGTTTCCTTAGTGTTATGTGTATATGTATATATATATATATATATTTTATGAAGAGCAAAGAGGGTAGGTGTTCCTTCTCAGATTGCTCCAGTTACTCCATTAAATGTTTTTCCTGACAAGACGAAAATGGGAATCTTACCTAATGGTTTAGAGTAGATAAATTGACTGAACTACTATAGATTTTATTGTTGAATACTTTCACTTTGACAATCATGTTCCAATGTATCATTAATTTTGAGTAGTTTTAAGGAAGCAACACTCTCTTCCCCTTGTATTAATTGGAAGATTAGGATAACAATTTTGCACTAGTACAAAATCCGGGAAGATGCTATATGGGAAAAAAAGTGCTTAATTAGCTAAATTACTTCACCAATGACTACTGTGGGCAATGGTCATTTCTATTGATCCTTGAGAGCCCCAACTTCTGCTGTTTGCGCTCCACCATGTACACAAGGTTGACCCTACTCCAAGTGGTTAGCTGAGCTAGACAGGAATATAAGCATCACATAGTGGAACTGAAACTGGGCCACTCTTCGATAGTTGTCACACCCCCCCTGTACTCTATTTATTCCAGCTTGAAATCATGCAATTTTTAATTGCATGTGTTTATTGTGGTTGGGAAAAATTCTTACTTCAAATCACTACTATCTTTGAACTATGAACCTCTCATTCAAGGGTCACATCTGTTCTTGTTTCAAAAAAAAACAATAAAACTTTGTCCTCCTTTTGCAATTATGAATTGTCTCCACCATTATTCCAAAATTTTACCCCCTCTGTATCTGTATATGTTTTTATCTAGATAAATGTTCATTTATGATCTCAGGTTTCATTATTAATTAAAAGATTGCATTGATAAAAATTAAGATTATTGAGAGTGCTCAAGTCTCTATTCAATATATAATACTATTGCAGTTGCAGTACTAATAAAGCTTGTTTATTCATACCATATGTTACTTAACATTCAACCATATTTGAAGTTCAGAATGATGATCAAGGTTTATCAAGAAAAAACAACCATCAAGTGATTTCTTCTCATTATTTAAATATTTCAGTCTCTGAGTTGGCTTGGTAAATAAACTTGTCAGAGCTTAATTAGTCAAAAACAAAGCACATGGGGGTATATGAATTCAGTGATTGTCAGGTTGTTCTAATTAAATAAGCCAATTGACCTTAAAAAAATTCTTACTTTAAAGGGTTTGAGTTTCTAGTTAATTTGTCATTGATTGACTGTGCAGGGCCAGGTTGCTCATCAGTGGCATATGGAGCATCAGAGGAAATTGGACCATTTCGGATTAATAAAACTGGTTCCTCCCTTTATCTCAACAAGTATTCATGGAATATAGGTAACAATCAAACACCTAATCTGTTTGTATTGAATTTGGTTTCCAGATGGCAAATCACATGAAGGAAGTATATCAAATTTTTAGTAATGCTTACAGGTTTTCATCTTTTTTCCAGCACTCTTTTCCTTATCAATTTTACAGTATTTGGTTTTGTTTATGTTTACAGAAGCAAATATTCTGTTCCTTGAGTCACCTGCCGGAGTTGGATTCTCTTACACAAATATAAGCTCCAATCTTGAAGACTCCGGAGACAGCCGGACAGGTGCTTATATTAGCAGCTAACCATCGCTCTTTTCCTGATCTCATTTGATGCATCATTCTTTAATCCTGATGGTAGTTTGTTTGTGAGTTGACACAGCTCAGGATGCTCTGATGTTTCTCATCAGATGGATGTCAAGATTTCCACAATACAAACGCAGAGAATTTTACATTGCTGGAGAAAGTTATGCAGGTAAATGAACCTGCAACAACTGGTTATAAATCAATTTGTTGCTAAACAAGCTTTCAGAAAAATATTCTGAACTGACAAAATTGTAAATGGTTACATAGGACATTATGTTCCCCAGTTGGCCAAGAAAATCCATGATTACAACAAAGCCTATTCGCATCCAATCATCAATCTTAAAGGATTTATTGTAAGTAAGCCAAGCGTAATTTTCACTTTTATCAGATATTAAGATATCAGAAACACTCAACCAGAAAGCTCTAGATAACGTTCATGGACTTTAGAGATTTTGAATGAAAATCATACAGGTTGGAAACGCTGTTACAGACAATTACTATGACAGCATTGGGACTGTTACATTTTGGTGGAGCCACTCCATGATATCAGATAGAACGTACAAAGCCATCATGAAACATTGCAATTTCACAGCAGAGAAAGGTTCCCAAAAATGTGATGATGCGGTCAGTTATGCCATGAACCACGAGTTCGGAGACATCGATCAATACAGCATTTATACCCCATCTTGCTTGGTGTTAACAAATGACTCAGCTAGGCATATAAGGCTCAAAAATACTCTTTTCCATAGACGGGTTTCGGGGTATGATCCCTGTACTGAAAACTATGCTGAGAAATACTATAATAGGCCAGACGTGCAAAAGGCTATGCATGCAAATACCACTGGGATTCCTTATAAATGGACTGCTTGCAGGTTTCTCCAAGTACTTTATCATTAAGTTGAATTCTTTCTGAAAAGGGTGGTTTTGGTGATTGAGAAATGATTCTCTGTTTTGTCATTGGACAGTGATGTTCTCATCAAAAACTGGAAGGATTCAGAAAACTCCGTCTTACCAATATACAAAGAACTGATTGCAGCTGGTCTAAGAATATGGGTTTTCAGGTGAGTTCTAAACTTCACTGACCTCGTACAAAATCTATTGAGTTAAGCCCTTGAGTTGGAAAAAACAAGGAATACAAACCAACCAGGGTTGCAATTTTAACACACGAAAAAGACCATGGGATACTATTAAGGAAATACTAAAATACTCAAACATACTCCGTATTTTCAAATACTGGCAGTGGCTTTTTCCTATAAGTCACAGTAAAAGAAAGCGCAGTGAGACAGGCTGACAATTACCGTTGTCTAGCTGTAAGCTTATGTCAAGATGTGTGTCCAAATCATATGAATGACAGTAGGCATTTGTTATTCCTAGGAAATTAGGCTTTAGAGGTTGAGTGTTTGACTGTCCTTGATCAGATTGATACAGGATTGTGTCACTGCATGATTTTAGTCTACACACTGCACTCGGACATAATTTCAGTTTCGGATGAACTAAATGTGCCATAAATGCCTTCCGTTGAATGCAGCGGTGACACAGATTCAGTTGTTCCTGTGACAGCCACCAGGTTTTCCCTTAGCCACCTCAACCGCCAGATCAAAACTCCTTGGTATCCGTGGTACTCTGGCAACCAGGTATTTCACATACTCACACCATATCTGATTTCCAAAATGGTTTTACTAGTGGTATATCCTAGTCTTTCCTTCTGTATTTTTTTTCTTTTGCAAATATAAAATCAGTTTGAATCAATATCTGATTGACTAGGTTGGAGGATGGACAGAAGTTTATCAAGGACTAACTTTCGCAACAGTCAGAGGAGCTGGCCATGAAGTTCCTCTATTTCAACCCAAGAGAGCTTTCCTTCTTTTCAAATCGTTTTTGGCAGGGAAAGAATTGCCGAAGTCTTAATGAACTTTCTTTACTTAAGCAGACAGGGAGAGACCAATTGTTTCAGCTTTTAAGTTTGTTGAGCAAATGCATATCTACCAGTTAGAGCAAGATCCCCATATAATTTAATATATGGGTGTTTTAGAGTTAGGAATGATTCATTCAAATTAGGATTTCTTATTATTTACTCCAAAAGACTATTAGTTCTTCTCCATTTCATAGTTCGGGCAAACCCGAAATGATGGAAACTGAACTAGAATTGTTTATTTAAAGAACTTGAGGAAACGGAGCATTAATCCATTTTGCATGCCTAGTTTTCCCCTTGAAAACAAATGGGAAAATTGCCCTCTGTACTGTTTGCGTGCCAGGAAAACAAGATTGTAACAAGATAATTTCACCTAAAAGAAATGATACTGTAACCTGTTAGCCAAAAGCTTGTTGTCAGGTCATAAACGGTTGATGTGTGCAGTGCTAATTGCCAACTATAATCATGAGGAACAGAACTAAAGGCACCTACCTTCCGTTATCTACGTATCTGATGGTCAACTGGTCCTGCCAGAAACAACCCGGAGCAGCCCGGCAGAGCGTGCACGCAATTGCACTTGACTAGAAGTTCGAGGCTCCAAGACTAAATAGAGAAATAGATTCAGTTCCATCCGACCACCACAAAACGAAAATCAAAATCTTCCAAACAGTCTTGCTCTACTCAGTTCAAATATTAAAGCTGAATGACTTTGCAAATTCAAAGTAATAAGTGTAAAACGAGTGTTTCTGCATTGGTTTGTATACAAAATTGAAACTAGCTCATCCAGGTGCCAGTCAAGAGATCATTACTGCTTTAATCCCCTCACTAAGCTCATCTAGGTGCCAGTTGAGAGATCATCATTGCTTTAATCCCTCACCGAGACCTTGTGGCATTCCTAAGCTTTGTGCAAGATCACTCATCCTTTCCTTCATGGCCTGAGAAAATCGAAAACTAAACTATCAGTAAAAGTGATTCTATAAAAGGTTCTGCACCTTGTAATTAAAAAAAATTAGGAGATTATCACCTGGACACTTTTTTGGTGCGCATCCTTGTATGCTTCATTAACTAACACAGACAACTTCTGCACCAAGCAAACAAGTTACAACTTACAAATTCTTCTCAATGCCTTAAAATAAAGAGCCCAACATGAGTCATTATTGGGGCCCAACTAAACCAAGTGGAAGTTTCAAAACTGTTTCTTCCCTGTACCATTTCTTAAAAGGATTTTGTAAATAAAAAGCACCTAATATGTGACTAGAATCAAGGTGTCATCCCAAATAATCTGGCAGAAGAATGTTTAAATAAACGTATACTCACTTCTGGACCCAATTCCATTGCTGCCTCAGTAATCTCTATGCGTACAGGTTGCTGGTTTCCAGATAATGTGGCCTGAAAAAGAACATTCTCAGTCAGAATATCTGTAAAATTCAATAGAAATATACAACATACAGTCTGCTTAAGATATAAAGCAGCAACAGTTCATTGGAAAACATGAAAACTGAAATGGAACCATTCATCATCCCAGGCATATTATATAGTCCTATGCATCTCTTATATTCAAGATCATGAAGAGAAATTATAACCATAATAGTTATTGACAAAACATTTCTAAACACAAGAATTTAGTGTAAAACAGAAGTCTTTCTACAAGGACTCCACCCAAAAGGACTGGACAATCCAATTGAAGCATGTAAGTGGAAACTTATTCAGTGGAACAGTAAGTGGTAACGGAACCTGGGATCTAAAAACTAGAAGAATAAAATGACCTAGCTTGATCTATGTTCATTAGCTAATGTTAATGTAGCTAACCATGTGAAGCAGTTGATGACATTTCTAGAACTAGAGAGAAAGAAAGAGAACAACAACAACCTACCTTTATCAGTTCACCTTCACAGTAGCCATCAAACTCTGCTCTGCAACACAGATAAAAACCAAATGGAACTCACACATAGAGAGAAACTAAAAGTTCAGACATCAATAGGTGTAAGATAAAATCCATACGCGGCAAGCTCTTTTTGCACACGCACAGCCTCAACCTGGACAACCATTTGTGCTTTCTTCACTGTCTCATAGAGGTTTTGCATGTTTCCAAGAATTCCTGCCTAAGACCAATTAGTAGGACAGCAGCGTTAGTTCAAAGGAGGAGAGAGAGAGAGTCAACCATGGTGCTGTATTCTAACTATCATGTGCAATTGTGAAAGATGATGAAGCTTGTGTAGCAATCAATTGAACCATAATGCCTGGTCACATGACTCAAGCAGTCATCAATTTTGGCACTTTTAAATGGACCAGTGGTTATGAAACAGAGTGCAAATCTAATGAGAAGATAGAGGACTAGAGCCATCCATGCATAGCGGCTGCCTATAATCTCCCTCTCTCTCCATGCATATGTATATGTCTAACAAAGTGAAAACACAAGATCAACCTTGATAACATATAATTGACTTAGACTACCATCAAAATGGATTAAACAGGGCTTTCCTTGTTTTCTAGCCCAATTGCTCTCAGTAGTTTAGTAAAAACATCCTTCACACAGATTGGATCACATGACTTCATACAGGCTACTTGCTTCCTTAGTCTTGCACACAGCCTCACTGGATTTGTTCCACTCTTGGAATTTGGGTTACTGATGGATTGAGATACATAGTGGCCTATGCGTATGGAAAAGCTCTTTTGTTTATCATTATCTTTAACATGGAGAAAGAACAAGATCATCTGACAAAACATGCATCCAACGAATGGCATGGTGTGCAAATATAGCTTCTCTTGACATGAGGCATATAATATGACAAAACAAAAACCACATACAGGGCTCAAACTGACCACGTACAGGGCTCAAACTGACCTACTAAACTACCAACATCAAATGCAACCAATACATGTTTCACATAAATTACTAGCAGTAACAAGAAAAAGTTGTACAACAATAAAAAAGACACTGAAACTGAGACATGACAACACCTAAGGCAGAATTTAAAGCATCATTTTCAATTATACAACTAGTATTAGCTACTAGTCCAAACAATGGGGCATTAATTATAATAAAAAGGTCAAAACAATATTAGAGCATGGATCAGACTATAACACCGCTAAATAGGCTATTATCCCCATAACATGGAAGGCATGCTACTCAATATCAGAGATCAATGCAGCCATTTCTAAAGAATGGTTTACGTTAAAATGCAGTGTACGCCAGAAGCATAGGCTAACATAACTGACCTTGGAAGGTGCATCATCACCCTTCTCACCATTTTCCTTTTTTCCTCCAAACAGACCATATACACGTAGAGATTTATAGCTACGCCCAGATTTTCGATGACCTGACGATGATAAAAACTGCTTACCAGCTAGATTTGTACTGAAATTAAGATTACCTGAAAGCCATCAGGAGAAACACAAATTAGTAAATTAGAAGACACTCTTTAAGATCATAAATTGGGGGAGGGGGAAAATGAAGTGCATATAAACACTCAACTGCAAACTAGACACTAGATTAGCACATAACATTTTAGGTCCCCTGGAATTAAGCATCACAGTTCTGCAAAGATTGAATTTCCTAATGACTAGGTTCACTATTTTCTATAAATAGAAATAAAAAAAATTAAGAATAAAAAGTAAAACACACAGAAAAGAAAAAATCTAAGCAAATTTTTACTTGATAAAAAAAGTGAGAAGATTAATTGAAAGTTCATACCTTCATCTTTCAATAAAAAAAAACTATTAAATTAGACCCAATATAACTATTTAGCTACGCTGATAGCTCATTTCAACTCAAAACAAGCACTAGAACAAACCCAGAAAACAAAATCAAAACTTTTTTGCATATTCTATTCTGATCCTCCATTTTCTCAGCAACCAAACAGAGAGAGAGAGAGAGAGAGAGAAGAGTTACCAAGGGCGAGAGAAGAAGGGATGGGCTTCTTCCAGTGAGTGACTCCATGCAGATTTGATATTTGAGCAGTCACGGCACTTGTCGAAGCCATCGGTTTTGCAAGTTCTCTTCACCAACAAAATTTTCGGATATTTCTAAAGACTGCAGACAGAAAAGAAGGAGATTTCACAAGATAGAAGTTGGTTCTTATTTTGGGTTTCCGGTGATTGGGATTTTCTGCACTTGGAGTGTGTACTTGTTTCCATGTGGTCCAATCAAAGAAAGACACGTTATCATGTCCGGATAGTTTTCACTAACCTTTTCAGTGAAAAAACGTGGGAGCAAGAAATGCAAGGAAAAGTTGTGCAAGGAAAAGAAAAGTATTGCAATTGTCAAACCCAATCCTCATGCTTGGGCCTCTGACATTATGTCGACTTACAAGGTTTCACATTGTTCCAACCCAACTTGCAAAAGGCCCAAACTGATTCGATTGTTGTCCTGTTTATGGCTCTTGCATACCTGGAATCATCAGAGGCATCGAGGGGTTTGATGGTTTTGGTTTGGTGACAAAGGTGTCTGATATTTGAGTCTTATATTCTGTCATCCGAGTTTGCTTTGACCTCAGGCATTCAATCATTAGCCATGAATTAGCTTTAATCCCTTTAAAGTGCTTACAAACATGTCTTAAGTATCTGTACCCATGTTTCTAAATGAAGAAATGGTACATGTGTTTATGTAGTAAGTTTTGGTCAATACCATAGCTTCTCTTTTCCCTGGTTTTTTGCTTTGGTTCCTTGTTTCTTTGAGCTTTCCAAAGGGACTGCAAATAGTGATTGCAGAAATCTGAGAAATGATGCAATTGATGAGAATTTCAACAAAAGCCGGCTACTTCCTTGACTTGTTCCAAACCCTGGAACAATTTCAAACCAAAGAGTCATGGTCGTGTTGAAAGGCTGCTTAAGCCAGAGAAGTATTCTATTCACTTTTTATGGTCAACCATGTACACAAGCAACTTTCAGCATTTTCTGTTCTAAGTTCTCACTGTCATTTCTTTCACTTTTCCATCTGCACCCAAAGTGAAGAAGAACCAATCAGTGACTTGTGAACAGTAATGATAAGCACTACAAGTCATCAATGGTGAAAGTGGCCACTTTGCTTCTGTTTCTGTCATTTACTGGTCCACTGGCTTAATGCATAAGCAAAGATACTGGCACTTGATTTTTAGCCAAAAGAGAAAAAAGGGTTGAGAAAGTGCATGCTGGCTTCTTGCTAGCCTAGTGCTTAAAACAGTTTAACAGAAGAAAGCACAAATCTGATTAAACAGTTAAGACAATTAGAGGAAACATAAAGTACATTTTTTCAACCTTTTTGGTTATCCACCTCTTAACTTTTGACATATTGCCAAACCTCATATCACATGCTCTTAGAGCCCCAAGTGATTGTTTCACATGGGACATTTGTTTTTTTTGGAACTGCAGAATAAAGGCATACAACTCAAAGTCCCAAACTGAATAAAGCATCAGAACTCAACTTTAAAGAAATTAGGTTGCTTAACAGTGATATGATGGTGGTGATGATCCTAGAAGGGTATCAATCATCATCTTCATGGGAAATTCTTTGCCAGAAGGAGAAAAATTATCTGGGATAATATTCAAATTCACTCTCGCATGTCCATTTCAGATAACATCCCACAAGGAATTAATTATTAATGGAAATAAAATGGAAAGACAAAGGGATAGGCAAGAAAGCTAGAGTTTTCTGCTCTCTTTCTGTAAAACTGATGGTAATACAGCCAAGCCATCCATCTCTCTTAATGCATTCATATGCATCCTACATGTGCTTGTATCTCTTTTGAATCAGTTTCAAGTTTTAAATGAATAAACAGTAAGAACCAGGTCACCGACAGTGCTGTTACAGAAGGGAAACAAATTTCAAGGGAGGCCCAGCAGCTTTTTTTCCCTCTCTTTTTCACCATCCTTTGGCTTTCATAAGCTATCAATGGTCTGTTGCTGGCTTTCACCATGCTGGTTATCCATTATTCATTGTGGTACTGTACTCTATTTTACCAAGATACCCCCTCCCACTTAAATGAAAATAGGGAATTTAAATGATGACCCCGGATTGGTATTTATCACTGTCAACTTGGTTACCCTGTAGTTAAAAGAGGGTACACTGTACAGAAAATATGGCAATAGGGTCGGGATTTGAAGTCATGGACTTTGTTGGTTCCCACTTTCCAGCATTTACAGAGGACATGAAAGTTCTGCTTGCTGTGATGGCTAGGAAGGTAGGATGGTGTCCGGATTCCAGGGTTAGGTGGTTAGATCTGTAGATATGGAAGGGGATATTACTAGTTTTATTCAAAAGGATTTTTACAGGATATTACTAGTTTAACCCTCACTGGGGGAATTTAATAGCAGGGGAACCACTCAGGCGGCCTGCAAATCCGATTTGATCCTATCTGTTTCACAACAGGTTGACTGGCAAAGGAGTCTCAGGCTTGAAGCCAAATTGGGGTTTATTCCCATCATTGTAACAGATGGAACGGTGCGTGGGAGGTTAAAAAAAAACTCAAAGGAGAGAGAGAGGGGGGGAAGCAAGGGAATGCATCCTTGAGAACAAAGGAAAGTGAAGGGTATGTTAGGAAATTCAGAGGCAATGGGCCTGGAGTATAATAATGTGAAATGAAAAGCATCTCTTTCTCATTGAAATTTATCATCAGTGATCACGCCACAAGCCAAAGCCTAAAAATAAGGTACCTCCAACAGCTGCAAAACCAGCACCAGCAACAACAACAACAACAACACATCAGAAAACAGCATCATCCTATTTTATCCTCCTGCCTTTTTCAGCCCACCCTTCTCGTATCAAAGACCATCTCTCTCTAAGAGGGAGAAAAAGCCTTTCTTTCCTTTCTCTCTCTACACAGGGGAAAAACACACCAAATACAAAGAAAAGAAGAAACATGGAAACTCCACGCACCCTCTTCAAAAACAAAGAAGAGTCCACACACCACCCAACTCTCTCTTTCTCTCTCTTTCTTCAATGGCCCAGCTGGACCAAAATTTATGTAGAAGAAAAACAAAAAAGAAAGGAAAGATAGAGAGAGAACGGAAAGAAAGAGAAGATAGATGTCTTCAAATGTCCTCCAACCAAACCCACCTCACAAAAAACTCCCTCTCTCTTTCTCACTCCTTCACAAAACCAATTAAAAACATGTTTACCAGAAATACCCTTCTGCAACCCCCCAAAAAATCCCATCTTCATCACTGTCTCAACTCTCAAAAGAAACATTTTTTTCACCGAGTTATGTGGGCTTCTTTGGGTTTTCTTTGTCTCGGTCAGAGTTTTCACAGAGAAAACAGGAAAGCGAGAACCTTCCTGTCTCCCTCTCTCTCTTTTCTTGTTTATCTTTCTCTTATCTCTCTCTCTACACTTATTCTTTCCTTTTATTATTTCTTGCCCATATCTCTTTCTGTCTGCCTTCTCATCAAATTCCCTTCTTTCTTCCCTTTTCTCTGTCTCTTCTCCATATTTCCTTATTTTGGCCTTCTGAGTTCTTCTCTTAACCTGACCCCTGTGATCTGAAACATGAAGAAGCTGAAAGGGGTTGCTGCTGCTGTTGCTGCTATGGAGTATTCTCCATATGCTACATATGAGGACCAAAGGACCAGTTTCAAGCACCAGAGCCTTATGCAAGACTTTGAAGACTTGCACAAGGTAATAACTTTTTTGCGGATTGTTTAGATTTGGAGTTATTTCTTTCAGATTTCATTAGATCCGGTGTTTATAGTCCCCGGGTTTTTCTTAATTTATGTTCTTGTCTTTAGTTTTTTGGTTGAGGATAAGAAGAGGAAATGATTGTTTAGATCTTATGATTTGGCCTCAAGTTGATGGAGATCTTCCCTCATCCCTGCTAGGAAATTATCGTTCTTTTATATGTGTTTCCTATGTGGTATTGTCAGACTTTTGCGTTTGAGTTTTGTGCCTATAGTTCTGTTTTTATGATGAGGAAATGACTTTTTGATTCATGTTCTATGTTAATATCCCCTACCGACAATGAAATTTCGCCTTTTTTTACTTGAATTTTCTAAATTTTCATTGCTGTCAGCTGTGAAACCTGAGAAAGTAATTGAGATAGCTCCTCTAGTAGTCTTTTAGATCCAGCAAGCTTTCATAGGTTGGATTGATCAAGGTGACTATATGTAATTTTTTGGTTGTTTCCTGCAAGGTTTGATGATAAAATTATTGAATGTTTCCGCCTAAATCCTTAAGTTCTTATCATTGCTCGCTTCACACCAACTACAAAGGGCTGTACCTTTAAGCCCTCCTTCCTCCAGAAGGAAAATTGATGGCTCTGTTGCTTTTATCAACTTTGACTGCTTTTGATGATTTCCATTACTATTACTTTGCCTGAACACTTGCCTTAAGGCCAGAGCATAAACTAAATTTTCATGTGCTTTGTGTTTTTCAGGAAACAGAGGCCATGAGAAAGAAGTTGCAGATGATGAAAGACCAAAAATTGACCCTGTTGGCTGAAGTCCGGTATGATTTTGTTCCTCCATGAGTTTGTAGGATTTTGCAGGACTTTAGAATCACAATTAGGAGTTAATATTTTGAGTTTTGACCCTATTTTTGTTCTTAGGTTTTTGAAACGGAGGCACAAGTTCTTGATGCAAAACCAATCTTCAAACACACCAGCCCAACGAAACATTGTGCAACCACAGAATTTGGTGATTAGAAGTAAATCAAATATGAAGGACAAGAAATCTACTGGAAAGGAACGAACTTTGCAACGCCTAGCTACAGGTTTTGATTTGAACCAAAAGGGGAAGACTTTCAGCAAAAAGGAAACTACTTTCACTCATCCTTCTCTGATGTTTGACTTAAACCAGAAGCAGCAGAAAATTTTGAATGGCAAGGAAGTTACTTTGCTGCGAAGTTCTATACCAGTTCTTGACTTAAACCAGAGGGAAAGGGTTTACAGTGGAAAGGATGCCGCTGCTCGAAGCATGGCACCGATTTTTGATTTGAACCAAATTTCGGTAATCAATTTGTAACTATTACAAGTTGTTGTCAGTAAACTTAAGATGCGTTAATCTTTTATCATGAGCTAATGCCTCCTAAATTTTGTTTCACTGCAGAGAGAGGAGGAAGAACTACTGGCTAGTGATAACTTAGTGAGAATAGAGGAATTCAAGAAAAGTTCAATCAGACTTGGAACTGATGAGCAGCACAATGATCTTAAAATATCAGCCTGCAGGAACACGGGAAACGGGCCAAACCGAGTTGGAAAACGAAAGATCACATGGCAAGATCCGGTGGCATTGAGGGTTTAAGTCTCTTACTGTACTTGTAATAGAGGTGCTTAGTTTGGAGGGGTTGGGACTTGGTGAGTTTAGCTTGCCTCCTGCCCAATTCTTAATTGCTCTGATGCTCTTTCTTCTCTTCTGTAAAGAAAATATAGTTGCTTCTGTTAAATTTCTATAGATAAATATATATAATATAAAAAAAAAATTATGATGCTTTGGGAAGCAGATATGTTCTCACCGAAAGTGCTGTTTACTTGTATCATGAATGCTGGTCTTGTTTGTTCGGAGTGATCGAGAAGCAAAATTGGTGATTGGTGGTGTGAAAGTTTGTTGAGAGATTCCCACGTCTTGTTCCTTAGCCGCCTAGTTTTACATTTGCTGAGCAATCCAAGCTGCCGGCTGCTTCCTTTTCGTACATGAATTGGGTAAAAATTTGGAGTAGCCTGCAAGTTTGTTGTCACTTTCGATCAGAATATGCAAACGAAAATCCACGGTGGGTGGGTCCTCACCGAGCCCATGAAGCAAATGCAGACACAGATTGATGCCGAAGCGCTCGGTGAAGTTAGTTCAGATGTCACAAAGGATGGGAGTTTAAATGTTAGGTTAAGTCTCACTTCATGCACCCTCCAGAATCGGATTGTGATTCCTCAATGAAACCCGACGTTTAGGCCTCGGACAGGGATGTTACTTGCCATCCTTTGTTTAAGGTATTTCAGGGTTGCCATAGCCACTTCCGTCACTACTGTAACCGTCGGTAGAAATACACACTGTTATGAGAAATTTCCAGCCAAATTTCTTGGAGATTTGCCAGTAGCACACCTGCTGGAAAAGCACTGGTCCTATTCAGCTTTCAGCTAAATTCAGGCCTGGTTTATCTGCAATTTGAAATGTGCAGCAGGGTCAAATTAATGGTATTTTTACTGCAAATCCATGGTCACCTCATTAAATTTTGGATTTCAGATAAAAAAAACCAACATCTAATTAAAAGTCTCATATAGTACAAAGTTGCAGAGAGAGCAATTTTCACAGCTCCCAAACCAAGTCTAGAGAGTTGGTTTTGTCTACAGTTCTGCCAATCAATTTACAACAGGAGAATGATTACAACAATCTGTCTCGGGAACATCCATTTGCTTGTCCTTTGCTTCGTTGGCCACCACATCAGTGTCATTTAGCATCTCAGTCCAATCAAGGGATGCCTGCTCAGTGACTGTATCAGTGGTGGTGGTGGTAGCAGACGCGGCTGCATTGTTTTCGTCATGTTCCTGGAGTCGAGCAATGTGCCTCTTCCCCTTTTTATGAGTTTCCATTACCACCTCAGAATATGCACCGACCAAACACATTTCACACCAAAACTTAAATCTCTTCTTTTTTCTAAATTCTGGTGTCCTCTCCACCTTATCCACTGCCATTAGTCCATGTTTCTTCATAAGGCTATTTGCTTTCCCATTTTTCTTCCTAAACCTTTCTGCCTCCTTTTTCTGAATCGGCAGCTCGTCCTCTTTATTCTTTAACTTTTCTCTTGCCTCCAGTTTCTGGTCTGATCCATCCACATTTTTATTAAGTTGAGGTAATTTCTTATCCGACTCTGTCTCTGTCTCTGTCTCTGCAATCTTGGGACGCTTTCTGGGTTTTTTTGGTAATCTTGTGGAATTGGCATTAGAGTTCTTCTCCATCCTCTCAGCCCTGAGCCTTGCTTCCTTAGCCTTGTGCTTCCTACCTTGAAGGTGTTCAGTCAAACCTTTCTCACTTGTGGCGCTGACCTGACAAACAGCACAACTCCATTCCTCATCCGGTTTCTTCTTTAAATTAATTAAAGGCAGAGGCAGTTCACCCGCAAGAGGTGGTGTTTTCCGCTTTGCTCCAACAACACGATTGGGATCCGGCTTAGCCTGCAATGGGATACTCAATGAAGGACATATAACCAAAAGGTGTGATGCTAATCAATCAACAAAGGTAAAAAACTTATAAATATTTCCAAATCGCTCCACCCTCTTCCTCTTAAACTAAGGACAAATTTAACTTTATCCTATCTTACTTTTAACTGAATCAGTCAGACAATGCAGCATGAGACCTCAGAGATGGTAAGTCACCAATCATGTATGCTGATTTACATTTTTTCTGTGGCACAAGTGGAACCAACAATAACTGATAAGAGCTTAATACCAAGATTCCAAGCACCAGAGGTTGCTGAAAGTTCCATGCAAAATCTATAGCACTTCAAAACATTTTTATATGATCCATATAGAAATTTGGGGGCGAACATATACACATATGTACCATATTACTAGACACAAGGGAAGCATAAAGGTTTTCTACAAAAACACTGGGTAACCTTCTCGAAGGAATAACATCACATCTAATAAACACATAAACCACTTCTCTCACAACCACGGGGTACAATGAGCCCCCACATTGTTGTATGCAGGATGCTATACGTAAACAGGAAGTGAAACATCTGTACCTAAGGGACAGCAAAGCCATCATCAATCTATAATATTCTCCAACAAGTCGCTGTAACATGATGTCACAATGAGCAACAGCAGCTACAGAAATCTAGGAAATACAACTTCATGATCAATGACTGCAATGCCACATTAGGACTAACTTCTGAATTTTCAGTCCACAAGTGAAAGGATTACCCAATGCGTTGATATCATGTCATAGCAAACATCATCAAAGGCAAAACAACACAAGCACCAGAAACAAATGACCTAACCAACATAGGCAAAAGGGTGATTCAGGGATGGAGAAGACTTTGCCATGTTTATGGACATTTTGCTTTAGATTCTTTCATGACAAACTAAGTGGCGATGAAGTCATTGTATGAAGTTTGTTTAAGCTTACGGCTTTAAACTTCCAAGAAAAATTTATCTTTTTTCTGATGATGAAACATGATGTTGAATTTACTAATTCCAAGGCTTACCAGTATAATCAATTTATTCTTGTTTCCCTCCGAAGTAGCCTTCACCTCAGCGTCCAAAACCTCTGTCACCCGTGGCGGCAACATCGGCGGTGGAGGCGGCGGAAACGGTGACAACAAATCCAAACGCTCCTCACTCCGCCAGCGGTGGTGGTTAGAGAAATGATGCATGAAAGGACGCCTAGGGTCGAGCCGCATCGTAAGCCTGTGTTCGAAAGATAAGCCCGTCTCCCTCGCCATGTGCATGGCCGCCATCTCTCTCTCCGCCATCATCTCCCTTCTCACTTCGGCTTCTAAGGCTCTCCGACGCGCGATTTCCGACGCGATTATCTCTTCCCTGATTTGTGCCTTCTCTAATTCCCGCTGGACCTGGTCGGGTCGGCTTCGGTTGAAGTCGAACCTGGGATTGGGTCGAAATGCTTGACCCGACAAGTAATTGAAGCTTGAAGAAGAATACGAAAGGTAATTCGGCGGTCGCTTATCGACCGCTCTGAATTTGAACTCCATTTCCCAGATTCGAGGTTTCTCAGTTGAAAGAGTTCTTAGTTCAGTCTGGGAGAATCATTGAAATTAAAAAATGTTTTTAAAGAGACAAAAGGGCGTTCGTTATAGACGCTAACGATGCGCGTGGGCGAAATGTTTACAAAGCCCCTGGACGGGCGGTGTTAGAAGTGACGCGAGGAGCTTCGGGCAGAGCGTTCGCACGGGAAAGTTTCATGTTCCGGTAGGTGACGAACACAGGTGGGGAATGGGGTGGAATCCAACAGCGAATCAAAATGTGCCACGTTCAAGATGACTTATTTTAATATTTATTTATCTTTCCCAAATTAAAAATTAATATATGTGGATACTTTTGACTTTTTAAAAAGGGTAACAAAATCCTTTTAAAAGTGTACAATTGGTAAAGGTGGATTCATTGCCATATTGGCCTTGTTTTTTGGTCTAAAATGTAATCCAAAGTGCACTAATTAAGGAAAGAATATTTTTTTCACAATTTTTTTAAAAGAATTATACATAGTATACAAAATTTAAATTATTTAATAAATTTAAATAAATTATTACTATTTTATTATTTTTAATTAAATTCTAATTATTATTAATAAAAAAATAATACTTATAATTTTATGTTACATGTAATTGATGTAACATGCTAACATGATTATATAATTTTTTTCACATTCCATATTAGTATTTTATAAATGTAAATTAATAAGTGATATTTTAAATAATAATAATAATTAATTATTAATTATAAAATATATTTCATTTAAAAATAAAAATAAAAAATTTTAATTGAACACAATTAAAAAATAATGCCTTATTTAAAATTTTTTGAATAATTTTAAAAAAAATTTCAAGCATTATATCTATTATTAATAATGTCTTAATTTATGGATAATCTTATTCTATATTTATTTTTTAATTATGATGAAAAAAACCAATAATATATCACAAGTATTTAGTTTAGAAAAAGTTATTTTTTTAAAAAATGAAAACAAATAAACTAAATTTACTAGTCCTATTAAATTTGAAACTAAACAATAAAACATATGAGTCATATGAGAACACAAAATTACCTCACAAGCATTAGAGATAAAAACACACACATACACATATAATTGTTTATTGTATTTATATTATCTTAATAGGCAATTACGTTATTTGTTATAGTAATAATTTATTATTTTTCCTTAAACAAATTAATCTAATTGATTTCAATTGTTTTTAATATAAAAATCAGTTGCTTTCATAGGTTTTACGGGTAAATGTTTTTGGTCCATTAGGAGTATTTAATTTGGATTATAATTTGTAAGCAAAATCCAGCCTATCTCTCAATCAAACTAGCACGTGGCACACTTTGAAATAATCATGACCGTATGTTAAACTGTAATTCCCCAAAAGGAAAATATGGACGGTCCATGATTAAAGAAGTTGGAATCAAGTGTTGTGGGATAGCAGCATCCAACCAAATCTCTTTTGTTTTCTTCTCCATTAAGGGCTTGACTTCGTTGCTTTCGACATCCAATCTGAAAAGCCACAAGATCGAAAGTGTTTAGATAAAGTCCCTTTTCTTACCTGTTGCTTGTTCTTTCACATAACCCAGCATGCCTTCTCGCTGCGAAATTTGCTGTGAGCTCCTGATCGCGGTTTTGCTCCCTCCCCTGGGGGTTTGCTTAAGGCATGGTTGTTGCAGCGTCAGTAGTTTTCTCTGTCTCTCATCATTTTGGATTGTCCTGTTTGAGGTTTCGATTTGATTCGATGAGTTTTGGGTTTGATGGTGTTTGCAGGTGGAGTTCTGCATTTGTCTGCTGTTGACGATTCTGGGATACGTACCTGGGATAATATATGCTCTCTACGCCATTGTTTTTGTGGATCGGGATGAGTACTTCGATGAGTACAGGCGTCCTCTCTATTATTCCAGTGCCTAGCCTGGCCTTTCTTTAATGATCTCTCTATGCTGTAATATGATGATGTTTAAACTCCTTACTTTTGTGTTTTGACTTGATATTGATGTGTTGCAACTCTTTAATTGATCTTGATGTTTTTGCTATTATGATGGTCCTTTGGTCTTGGTTGGATTCACCAGCGTTTTGATTAATTACTTGATTTTAACTTCATGCAATCCACTTTTAGTGATCTTGTTTTGTTCGTCTGTCAAATGCTGTATATTGAAACATGAGAATAGATGATCTACTTCATACCCAGAAGTATATATGCTGCTAGGTACTGTTGTTAGGACGAGGATACAGGAGAGATTAGGATCTCATACTCTATCCTTGTCTGAACGTAGCATTTTGTTCTGATTTGGTATATCAGTTAGACAGTACAAACTTTGTTTTTTGTCATACTGAAATATGGGACTGTGTTTCTTTGGAATTGAGTCGGATGACAGAGATGAGATGTGTATGAATGTCTTCTTAACTCTTAAGGGCATGCCTTAACTTTCTGTATATGCAATAATTGGTTGGGTACTAGGCGGAACCTGGAAAATAGAAGGTTTCAGTATGCTTCTTCCCCAGATCATGTGCTAGACAAGTATTAAAACTTTTGAGTTTTAGTTTCCTTGTTTTTGCAAATTCCTCCAAATTTCACTTTAAGCATTGAGTATCCTTTTGTTCCTAAAACTTCCTCTTAATGTCTAAATGTCTGCAGTTAATAATCAATCTTTTAGATTCTCTGTGACCAGAGTTTTGGCAGTTAATTGAAAAAACTAGGGGTGAAGTTGATATCAAATGACTAGAAGAAGAATGGAAGACTCTTGTCACTGTTCTTTTTGTTCCGATAAGTTGATTTTACATGTAAGATAGAAGTTTCCTATTAAGTTTCTGCCATCTACTTCCTCAATGACCATCCTCGATACAATTTCCATCCTCATCGTAGGTTTAGATTTAATCTTCTAATCTTCTTATTGGTTTAGTTAGCTACAGCCTGTTCCTTTCATAGCCTATACCTTATAGACCAACTTGTCTGCTTATTCTTGTTCTCTCTCAGCACTTTGTCAAACACTGTGCTGTCTACCTTACTGCACATAGACATAGATGCTCTACTTTGCTTCACAATTAGCCTGCCTGCATTGTCTCTTTCCTGCATAAAAACCATTTCTGGTTTTCTGAAGTCTAAACTCTTGTTCATTGCAGTTAGTCCCTATTTGATACAAAAATCCTGTTCAACAGTTACTCAACAGTAGATTGTAATTGATATCAAATAGTGATGGGAACTACCAGACAATATCTTTGCTTCTTTGCTGGTATACTATCTTGATACTCGTAAATTTATACAATTTGCGGGAGGATAACAGATGTGTGCAGAGTGTTCTGATACTTAATGTGGGTTTAAAGCCCCTTGTGAAGTGCTACTCAGCTATTTCATGTTCCTTAAGCTGAAGCCTTTTTGAACCCCATGTAGTCAACAAAGGTCTAAGTAAGGGAAAGTAGGAAGTGAATCATTTTTAAATATGATCCAATGTCGGGTTCATTCTGAGTCATTATGACTGAACAAAGTATGGTTTTTATATGATGATTGGTATTTGTGACAGTGGGGTCAGCCTTGAGCAATCCAAAGAGGCCATGGATGTAGGGAAGGGAAGTGGTTTATCCTCTATATTGGTGAGAACATGTCAAGAGAGAAACTCTAATCAAATGACTAATGATTTCTATGGGCAACGATGGATAATAATAGGGTGGATTTTCCTTTCAGCAATCCTAGCTTCTCCAAGAGGACCAAAACCCCACTTTGGCCAAATGCCAATGTGATTACATGGCTTTCTTGTATTCAAGCCGGTCTCAGTGCTTGATTGACAAATCAATGAAGTTGAAACTTCAATTCAAAATTTGGGGATTTTCTTGTCTCAATTGATATCTTTTAAATATTTTTTTTCTCAATTGGTACTACGCAGATTATAAAAAATTAAGCCCCTGTACCTTAGGGTTTAAGATCATCATGTGAATATAAAATAAAAAATAATATTCTAATTGATAATTAATTAATTAATTATTAATTATAAGAGTTTATTTTAATTTAAAATTAAAGTATGAAGATTTTGATTGAATGTAATTAAAGGAATAAAGAACTTTTTGAATAGTTATAAATTTTTTAAATATTTTATTTTATTAATTGTATTTAATAAAATTATAAAAACATTTTTAAATATAAATAAATAAGATAATTTAAAATTGAGAATATTTTGATAATTTTAATGAAACAAATAATGATTTAATCTTTTATAAAGATTGAAATTATTCATAACTTACTAATTAAGAAAAATTTTTACATCATACTAATTAAAAAAATTCATACAAAAATTCATATAAAAAATTTAAATTATAAAAGATACAAGCGAAGCTTATTAAATTAAAAAAAAAAAAGCAAAAAGCAAAAGTTGCTAAAGACTTCAGAAAAAAGAACAATCGAACACGTGTACTGCCAAGCGGTAACCACTAACTAGATAGGGGCCCTTTCCTGGTAAAATTACCGTATTATCCAACTTGTTATCCACACATCCCATCGTTTAACAAGAGAAAAACTGCTTGGGGCTTCCCGAAGTGGTCCTCCCGAACATGGAGGGTAAAGAAGGAACAGGGGAAACAGACACTGAGTCTGGACTCATCTCCGACTGGGCCGAGTTAACCCACGAGTGCCTCGTCAACATCCTTTCACGACTCACTTTCGAGCACCGATGGACGGGCCCTATGCTTGTCTGCAAACCATGGCTCAACGCCTGCAGGGATCCCACGCTAAATTCCGTGTTCGATCTCGAAACTCGGTTTGATTTCCCCGCCGAGTCACCCCGCTGGTGGACCCCCGAGTTCGAAAGAAAAATCGACTCCATGCTCCGATCCGTTATCTCATGGAGCAACGGCAATCTAACCGAGATCCTTACCCGTCACTGCTCCGATCTTTCTCTCAATTTCGCCGCTCAAAGGTATCTCATCTCCGACGCCGTTTATTGTTTTCCATATTTGCCTAAATTTCCATCTTTGAATTTTCAATTTTTATGCCAGGTGTCCAAATCTCCAAGTTCTTTCTGTAAAAAGCTGTCCTCACGTGACCGATGCCTCGATTGCTCAAGTAGCGTATCATTGTCGGAACCTTAAACAACTCGACATCAGTTACTGCTACGAAGTATCGCACGAATCTCTGGTGTTAATAGGTCGGAACTGTCCCAATCTAACGGTCCTAAAACGGAACCTGATGAATTGGTTAGACCCGTCGCAACACATGGGAATTGTTCCCAATGATTATCTAAATGCGTGTCCACAAGATGGGGACACAGAAGCAGCTGCAATCGGGAAATTCATGCCTCAACTGGAACATCTCGAAATCAGATTCTCGAAATTATCCGCTAAAGGTCTTAGTTCGATCTGTGAAGGGTGTTTGAAACTTGAGTTTTTGGATTTGTTTGGATGTGCTAACTTGACTAGTCGGGATATTGGCAATGCGACATCGAGTTTGAAGGATTTGAAGGAAGTAAAGAAGCCGCATTTATATATACCCAGGTCAGTTTTTCATACTGAGAGGTATGGACATTGGAGATTGTATGATGAGAGATTCCAAACTGATGTTTTTCGAATCTAGGGAAGGAACATGATTTCAGTTTCTTAGCTTTGTATTTGTGTATTACTGTATTCTGAATCAACTTTTCTGGGATACGTTCCTGGGATAATCTATGCTCTCAATGCCGTTGTTTTTGTGGATCGTGATGAATACTTTGACAAGTACATGCGTCCACTTTGTTATTCCAGTGCCTAGGATTCTTTAATTATCTGTCTATGCTGTAAATGTGATGAGCTAAAACTCCTCTTTTTTTTTTTTGTGTTTAAGTTGACATTGAGGTGTTGCTTCTCTTTAATTAATCTTGATGTTGTGCTGTTGTAATGGTTTCTTTGGTCTTTGTTGGAATCGCATTTGGTGGTGTTTTAAGTATATGTCAAATGCTTTATATGGAAACATGATGAGATAGATGGTCTGCTTCAAACCAAGAACTCGAATTATTACTTGATATTGTTGTTAGGACGAGGATATGGCAGAGATTAGGATGTCATAATCAATTTCTGGCCAAACATTTTTGTTGTTCTAATTTATCAGTTGAGAGTGTTAGACTGTGGGGTGCTTCGTATTTTGTGTCATAAGCTGCCATTAGAATGTGGGACTGTTTTTCCTTGGACTTGAGTTGCATGATAGAGATACATTTGGATGTCTAAAGGGCATGTTTGGAGTTTTTGTTTTCCTTGGACATCCATAGATGCAAGAATCAGGTGGGAACTTTGTGGAGCCTGGACAATGGAAATTGTCAATCTGCTTCTTCCCCATATCACGTGCTAGGCAAGCAAACCTTTGAGTTTTAGTTCCTTGTTATTGGAAATCCTCCAAATTTGCCCTTCAGAGCATTGAGTTTTCACAGTGTTCTCAAAACTTAACTCATGATGTCTAAATTACAGTTACAATAAATCTTAAGATGAGCAAAATCACTGCAGCTATATGAGAAAATTAGGCTCAAGTAGATACGATATGACTAGAGCAAGAATGCAAGACTCATATTCATTGTTCTTGTACCAACAATTTGATTTCACAGTTAAGATATAAGTTTCGTATTAGGTTTACCTAACCGCCTCTTTCTCAATGATCATCCAGAATACAATCTCTATCTTCCTTGTAGGTTTGGTTTTAATCTTCCACTCTTCTTATTTGTTGACATAGCTAGAGTCGGTTCTTACAATAGCTTCTGCTTTATACAGCAAATACAAATAAATAGGATTCAAACCAAAAAAGTTAGTTCATGAAAAAAAAAAAAAAAAAAGGAACATCTTTATATGTTGCATACTGATAGAGAGAACAAAAGACTAATATCGAGCCTTTATTTTGTCAAATGACATTAAGCCTTCGTAAAGATGTTTCTCAAAAGATTTCATATAAGAGGTTTCTAGGCATGCTACCAGTGACAGGCTCCCATCATCAGTTGGACTTGGCAGCAGGTATATTTTTCCTTCATGGACGACATTTGCCGGGCCCATGTATATGGGTCGACCCCACCCAAAATTTGCATCGTGTATAGGGAGTCGCATCCAATTGATGATACTTAGATTTGGGCACTGGAAAGTGTGTGCTTCTCTCCTCGCAGCAGTTATATCTGGCAGTTTTTCTAGGTAGTCAAGAGCTGATCTTAGATATTCATTGTCCATCCTTTTCAATGTTCCATGAATTCGCTCTATGGTATTCATAAATGGTTCTGATTGGAGATTTCCAGACAGAGAAATTGATGAAGCCGTAAACATTGCATTGCCCAGGTAGGCTGATGGGAGGGGAGGACGTAGTCTGGGGCGTCCATTTGTTGGCATGTATAACTTGGTTGGTTGATCATCCAAGAGGCCCCGAGCTTTACAGGCACAACGCCATATATGTGCAGCTAGGATAGTGTAGGTGCTGTACTCAGTTGAATTTTCATTCTTGAATGACATGCCTTTTAGGGTATTAAGTTGATTGAGTGTGATCTTAAACACAGATATAGATGAGGGTTTAGGCTTAGGACGAGATTTGAAGATTGACATTGAGGTGTTTAAGGGAGGAGGTGGATCATATTCAGCATGATGAAATCTGGGCGTTGGTGGCATCCGTGCTTGGAGAAGAGTTCTGTCAATAAGTGGCGCCACCCTGATTAGGGGCAAGCCTCTTGCTATCTCGGACCAACTGTTGATGAAGTGAAGGGAAGTTGTGCCATCAGCCAAAGTGTGGTGAATTCCGATTCCAAGAGAGACTCCACCGCATTTGAAAGCAGTTACCTAGCAAAAACATACAATCAAGCTTTCCAGTTTCCATCGCCTATCCTTTTATCTTTTTCTGTAATAATTTTTTTTTTTTGCTATCCTACTTTGATCTTAAAGGATTAGTAGTTAGTAATTGTTCAGAGTACATCTTGAAGCAAGATTTTAATCATGAGTTGACTCTATGAGTTCTGCAAACTAAAATAAACTAAACAACACAAAAACATAATATATATATCCTAAATCAAGGCTAGTCCGTAATCGCCTTGTAACTCTTATTTATCTAGTAATTATATACTTACAGTGTGCCAGTTTCTCATTCTTGTTTGGTGAACACTAACCTGGGCCATAACCAGCGGGTGAGAGAAGGTATCCTTCGAGTAATCAACTGTCGGAACTAGTTGCCGGAGTTTTAAGCTAGGAGTAAAATCGCTAAAGTCATCCACAGCACAAGTTGTTTCAGCTTCTACCCATAGAACTCCCTCTGCGTTGCATATTATCTCGAACCTACCATTTTTATCCCTTCCCAACCTCCCAGCCATGGGGTAAAATGGCACAAGAGTCTTGCTTAAAGCCTCCTTAAGCACTTGCCCTTTAAAGAAATCCGAAGAACCGTCTGGTTTGTAGAAGTACACGAGGGGGACATGATATAGTGTCATCACCATGTCCGGATTTGAGACCCAGTGGTTCTCTTCGGGCGTTTCTTTAGCAGGGCGTACTAGGCTTGATCCCTTTACGGTAATCTCCATCTCTTCAAAGTGACTGCAGTGGTCACAGAAACCACAAAATCTCCTCTGAAATATGCTTTCCGATCTTACCCGTCTATGGTCGCCATAGTTTCAGAAACTACTTCTTAGGGAAGGGGAGCGCTCATACCTTGTATGCCAGAAGCAAAGGTGCGCAAAATCGTCTTAGTTGGAATATGGTAAAGTCTGTGGGCAGCGGTCAGGAAAATGCACATGCGCCCTAGCAGGTGAGTTTCAACACCTCTTTGCCGTTGAGGTTTTGGCTTTATCTTATGGTTGTCCTGCTTGCTTATTTAGGCAGAATCCTGATTGTACCGTAACGTGTTCGGCTGTTCCTGATAGGGACATATGTGGTTCAGATTAAATAATATTTTACAACTAATAAAGCTATGGGTAATCGGTGGCTGAGAGAAGAGGGCAATGGACAGGGACAAACGATATTTAACACTTGTATTATGTGAATGATACAATGATCGTCCTTCGGGTATTTTAAATAATAATTTTCAGAAGTAAGATAGTTTTAAAAATAATTTTTTTATAATTTTAACTGATTCTTTTTTTAAAAAATTGAGAAAATTCTTAAAATGAGTATTCACCAACATTATCTTATTTAAGTACCTTAATTTTCATATTAGACTTTAACTCAACTCGAGCTTTATACTTTTGGATCCAACCGGAAGTTTGTGACTTTTGTTTCATAAAGAATATCCAACAAAACCTGATCAGATTATCTATAAGTGTAACAAAGTATTTGCTCTCATTTAACGACTCTTCACTTAAAGGCCTTCCAACATCTAAATGGATAAGATTAAGTTTATCTTTTGATTTGTTAAAATTAGCAGTGGGATAAAGGTTTCGAGCTATTTTTCCTAGTTGACAAGTTTGGCAAATAGGATTATATTATGATAATTTAAGGAGCTTATTTGCAAGACCTGAATTACTCATTTATACCAATGAATTATAATTACAGTGACCAAATCTCTTGTGTCACAAAGAAGTCAAATTTGAGTAAACTTCTATTGCCTGCAAACATGCATCATTCCAGTTTATTAGGAAACAATTTTGTTTCATGGAGATATTCATCATATATTCACCATTAAGGGCATGAACAGTGCAAGACATATCTTCAAATAATAAGACATAATTATGTTTAAGCTTTTGTCCTACACTTAATAGGTTTTTATTGATTTTTGGCACTAAAAGAACTTTAAACTCATACCTGGCACCAGAGGAAGCTTGAATAGGAACTAACCTTTCTCTTGTTGCTTGCAAATAAACGCCGTTCCCAATCTCAACTTTCGAACAATATTGATAATCTTTTTCAATGAATAGCTTCATATTTGGAGTCATGTGATTTAAAGCTCCATTATCCAGATGCCAAAGGTTTACATCAACAGTTTTTAAATCTTTAGTTTTAGCCATAAACAAATGTTCTTCAGCTGTTTCAACTTTTGTAACGACCCAAGTCCAACCACTGGTCCAGCAACTCTTTGAGCTTAAATGTAAACGGAGTTCTTGTGATGAGAAGAGAAAACGTTGCAAACAAGTAAGGGATGTACCAGAGGTGATGGAGAGGAAGATTAGAGCAGTTCTTGAAACACTAAATGCCGTGGCAGGTGGAAGAGAATAAAAAAAAAATAAGTGTTCTAAGTGAGAATAAGCTAAGGAGAAAAGCTATGAGTCAGAGTCCAGTAGTTGTGAAAAGTTTTTTTTTTGAGTTGTGAAGGTTCTATATATATAGTGTCAAAAATAGCAGTTACAAAAAGAGATTTTAATACACGTAATGAATGATATCATTAAGGAAAATTTTAATGTTAGGTAACCGTTACTGAGAGTTAATGTTGAATAACAGTTAAAAACTTATTATGTGACCATTGAAATAATTATATTTAATAAGACTTATTCTCGAGTAGAAGCTAATAAAGAAAAGCTATACGTGAATAGGTACAAGAAAGGAAGCTATATATAAACAGGCACAAGAGAAAAGGTTGTACGTAAACAAATATAAAAGAATAAAGAAAAAGTAGAAAACACTTGTATTTCAGGAAAAAGGTTAAAAGAGACCTCTTAACGACCTCCAAATCTAAACCACCAAGCCAAACTCTCCGGAACATCCCAAGACGAAAGTAACCCATGAACCTTATCACATATTTCGAATTACTTTCACTATCATCTATGTGAAATTATTATTTTGTACAACATAGTTGTTCTACTTGTATTAATTGTTTCACATGGAGTAATGTTCCACTTATTCTAGTTGTTCTGCATGAAGTAGTGCTTCACTTATAATGGTTGTTCTCATTATTCTTTATATAATGTTACGCGATAAAATAATTTTTTAGAGAATAAGTATTAACCATTTGTAATGACTCAACCCAGTAACTCTTTAGGCCTAAACCACGTGATCCTCAAAAATTTAAGTTCAAGTTGCTAGTAGTGGTAGACTAAGATTATTATATAGGTCTTAACAATCATATTCACATCAGATGTGGGATGTTATGTATCACAATCCCACCCATTCAGATCCTTGATGTCCTCGTCAAGGTCACACATCACATCTCTCACCAGAGCAATGTGAAATCTCACATCGAATTGGCGCAAACTCTGATACCATTTGTAACGACTCAAGTCCAACCACTGGCCCAACAGCTTTTTGGGCTTAAACCACGTGACCCTCAAAAGCTTAAGTTCAAATTGCTAGTAGTGATAAACTAGGGTTGTTATATAGGTCTTAACAATCACATTTACATCAGATGTGAGATGTTGAGTATCACAACTTTCTTAACTGGTTCATTAACCTTGACTTGAGTCTCAACTTTGTTCTTGCAAACTCTCTGTACATGCCCTAATTGGTTACAATTTCTACACCTCACATTTGGTCTAAACCAATAGCTAGCCTCAACATGACCCTTTCCTTTGCAGTGAGAACATATGTGAGCCTTGTATTTTTTCTATTGATTTCTATATACAGATTGAACCCCTTTATCTTTCTCTTTCTGTTCAATCAAGCCTTTTCTTGTGCTTGTCTCTCTCACTACTTTTCCTTTCATTCTATCAAATAAGGCATTTTTAGTTACATTATCACTTCTCATAACCCTCATGTCTTCAGCAGCTTGGAGAGCATATGCTACATCTGATAGTGACATTTTGGAGAGTTCCCTTTTTAGAGAAGCAACTGTAGCTTCAAATCTTTCTGGTAGAGATACAAAGGCCTTTTAAACAGCTCTTCTTTCTGAAATATTCTCTCTTAAAAGTCTGAGTTGATTAACAATTCTCATAAGTCTACTGATGAAGTCTTGTGCATTGTTAGAATCCTTCATTCTCATTGTATCAAACTCCCTAGTGAAGTTCATAATCTGCATTTTTATTATTCTTTCAAAACCTTCAAACTGAACTTTCAGTCTTTCTCAAGCATCTTTAGCAATTTTACACCTCATAATTCTTACAAACATAGCATCTGTAAGGGCTCCCTGGATGTAAGACAAGGCTTGATATCGTTTAGCCACTTCCTAGTGGTATTGCTTGACTTGAGCTGTGGTTGTATTATCTTTTAGAGCTAGAACTTCAGCTCTTAATTTAATAGAATCTTAGAGGTCCAAACCTTTAAGATATGAGTACATTTTCTTAGACTAAATTGGGTAATTTTCTCCATTGAACACTAGAGGTGATTGAAAGTTGAATGCAGTATTTAGTGAAGAGGGAGAGGCCATAATGTTTGCAAGTGAGTGTATAGTCTATTTCAGAGAAAGTTTTTTTTTTTGGATTCAACTGACTGTACGGTCCCTTAAAAACTTAATTCTGCTCTGATACCATGGTGAGATTGCACCTAAAAGTAGATATAGGCTATTGATATTAGTCTCTATTTTTAATTCATGAAATAGAGATTGCATAAAACCATCAGAACTCTCACTACTTTCATTGTCAACACTTTTAATATTTACAAGATAGTTAACATACACATAGAAAACATCATTAACACTTGTTAAACAAAACAAAACAAGTGTAAAGCATCATTTACAAGGTAACATGCATAACACCACGTATAGTGTTCTTTGTTGGCATTATCTAAATCTTAATCATAAAAGCCATTATTGACTCTTTAATTTTCCAAGTCAAATTCAATAAACAGCGATGCATCAATGAAATAGAGAGCTTATCTTCGCCCAAAGCTTAAAGAAGTTGATATATCAGCTAGAAAACATCTCATGCAAAATGATGGCAGGGAGGAGGAATCTATCCTATAATGATCTAATGGAAAATTGGTTGGAATCGTCCCTGACGATTGTCCCAAATGCTTGTCGTCCTCAAGATAGGGACAAAGAAACAGGAGTATAGGGCTGTCTTCCTGTGTTTTCCTTACAAGCATCAGAGCTTCTACATCTGTATTTCTTTAACTAGGATTGGAGCAAAAGAAACAGATTTAATTATGTTCCAGGTTGATAAAGAGAACAACGACTAATAACGAGCCTTTATTTTGTCAATTGACATCAACTCTTCATAAAAATGCTTCTAGAAACTGTTCCACACCAGCTACTGATGAAGTAAAATGTGGATGTCCCATCTGACATAACATCAAGAACTCCAACTCCAGTACAGATTCCTCCACAGTTAAAAGTGGTCACCCAGCGAAAATGTACAAGGAACAGTAAAAATGTCCATTGTTTATCCTTAATAAGTGTATATGTTTTGAACAAGAAAGAATCAAAGGACATTCTGAGTGCAAATATCTTGCGTGTGTAGCAGTGTTGGAGTCCGCTATCTTTTATTAAAGCTAATACTAATACAGAAATCATATAAAGGAGCTTCTCAAAGTTACATAATACTAGGGAAAACAAATTAATAACGAGCATTTATTTTTGCAAATGGCAGTAAGAAATCATAAAGACACTTCTCAAACTGTTTCATATGGGATGTCTCCAAGCATACCACCAACGACAAGCTCCCATCATCAGCCGGGCTTGGTACTATATATATCTTTCCTTCGTGGATTACATTTGCCAACCCCATGTGCATGGGGCGACCCCATCCGAAATCTGCAGCATAAAACGAAAGCCGCGTCCAGCTATTGATAGCGAGGTTCGGGGACTGAAAAGTATGTGCTCCTCGCATAAGAGTTTTCATATCAGGTACACTTTCTATGTAGTCAAGAGCTGATCTCATATACTTGTCGTCCATCCGTTTTACCATTCTGTCGATTCTTTGTATTGTATCCGCAAATGGTTCGGATTGGAGGTCACCTGATAGAGCAGTCGTTGCAGCTATGAAGATCACGTTGCCAAGGTAGCCTGGTGGGAGAGGTGGATGTAGTCTGGACCGTCCATCGATTGGAATGTATAACTTGGTCACTTGATCATCCGAGAGGCCCCTCGCTTTGCACACGCAACGCCATATATGTGCAGTCAGGATATCGTATGTGGTACAATTTGTGTTTGTCGTGCTGCCATTCATGGTTGCCTTGGATTTTAAGGTTTTCAGCTGATCGGCAGTGATTTTGAAAATAGATGTAGATGAAGGTTTAGGACCAACTTGAGAATTCAGAGTTAAAATAGATGTGCTCAAGGGAGGAGATGGATCGTATTCGACATGGTGAAATGCAGGAGCTAGCGGTACCCGGGCTCGGAGAAGGGTGCGGTCAATGAATGGGGTAACAGTAATGGATATGCCTCGGGTTTTGTTAGACCAAATGTTCATGAAATGAGAAACTGATGACCCATCCACCAAAGTATGTTGAAATGCAGCACCAAGGCAAACCCCTCCATGTTTGAAGCTTGTCACCTAGCAAAAAATACTTAAATAGCGTTGTTCCGATAAATTTTGAAGACTCTAATTGAAAGAGAAAAGAAAACCCATAAAAGATATTGAAACTTGGTAATTAACCAAAGACTAGTAATAATCTGCACCAGGTGATAGCCTTACTTCAATTATTGTTGGGTGAAGACTTGTACCTGTAACAAAACGAGTGGAAAAGAAGAGATATCTCCAGAATAGTCGACTGTTGGAACCAGCTGCCGAAGTTTCGAACTCGGTGCAAAATCGCCCAAGTCATATATGGTAGCAGCAGTTTCAGCCTCTATGAATAATACTCCTTCAGCGTTGCAGACTATCTCGAGTCTTCCATTTTCATCATATCCCAATCTCCCAGCCATGGGATAGAACGGGACGAGAAGGTTACTCAGAGACTCCTTAAGCAACTGGGTGTCAAAGAAATTGGAAGAAGCATCGGACTTGTAGAAGTATACCAAGGCAACATGATACCTGGATATCACCAGGTCCAAATTCGAGTTCCACAGGCGTCGATTTGGCGTGTCTCGAGCTGGGCGTACCATGGTTGATCCATTGATGGTAATCTTCATCTCCTCACTTCCTGCAATGATTACTAAGCTCAGTCTTTATAATTTCTCGTAGAAGGGAAGATAAGTGGCCTACCTTTGTAAGTTGTACTTAACAGGACACCCAAATCTCAAAATCTTGAAAAGTTTCCTTGTTGAATAGATTACAGTTTCAATTCAAGATTTATGAGATGCATGAAAGTGACTTGGAACTAGGAAACAGCTTCTTGCTCTGTTACCTTTTCTCTCTTTCAGCCATACGAGGAAGGAAGAGAACTGAAATCAAGAAAAGATGATCATTGACCGAAGGAAAATTGTTTGTGCCCACGGGAATTATTTGTGGATCCTCTAAAGATTACAAAAGGAAGGCATAATGCTTAAGTAAGGTTTTAAATTATTTAAATAAAATTTTATTTTATTATATCTAATTAAATTTTTATATTTTTATTTTAAATTAAATTAAATTATATAATTAATAATTAATTAATTATTATTAATTAAAATATCAATATAAACATAAAAAATAAAAAATATTACATATTTATATTATCATAATAAATTAATATATCATATTATAATTAATTATGGTATGTTAGTAAGTATTATATGACATGTAATAATAAATAATATTTTAATTAAATTAATTATTAATTATAAATATTTATTGAATTTAAAATAAAAATTTAAAAATTTTAAAAAAAATTTAAATATTATGTTTAAATGATATTTAACCTATTTGGAAGTGCCACCTATAATTAGCTCTACGGACTAATTAAGCAACGAACAAGTCTTATTGTTTTTTAATGATAATCAAAAACTTTAATTACATATTTAATATCTAAATTATAATTTAATTATGAATTTAATACTTGAAGAAGAAAATTGGTAATTAAATATTCAAAATTTTGTTTCCGTTAAAAAAATTGTTAACAAAACAATATCCAATCACAATACGTTGGTCATATTTCTCACAAACGAAAGTCAAAATCGTCAGGCTGCTGCCATCACCGACGTCAAATATTCATTTATTATTTTATTATATTTTTATATATTTGAATAAAGAATGTTGCCATGGTGTGCTTTGAAAAGTAAAAATATTTCGTCATTTTACGTAAAAATATAAATAATATTTTAATTAACAATCAATTAATTATAAATTTTATTTAATTTAAAATAAAAATATAAAAATTTAATTAAATATCATATTAAAAAATTATTTATTATTTAATACTGTCTACTACCAGTGACAAAGACATTGTGCTCATAGAGAGAAAAACCTGACAACGTCGTCAAATCTAGCTAAGGAACATACGGCTCAAGCCCAATCCACCACCGCCATATCACGGATCAGGGATCATAGATCATAGACAGAGAGGCCCGGTTCGGGTTGGATCGAGTCAGATGTCTGCGCAAACGGAGCTTCGACTCGACGATCTCACCGTGCTGACTGAACCTTCTTTGGATCTATTTCTGTTCGGTCGTCACCTACCCGGTCGACATCTATTGATCTTGCTACATCATCGTCGGTACTTCGCCGCCGGCGGGGCACTGGTCATGCAATTTTCTGGCTTGTGAGGACTGCAGGGAACGCGACTGCCGTGGTGATCTTTATTGAAGGCCCGATAGGGCATGAATTTTATACCTATTTTACCCTTATTATCTCTTCTTTCCCATTTGCCCTTTTTCCTTTCTCACTCCTCTCTATTTAGTTTCTCTGTTAATGCCTTTTCTCTCAAAAGGCCACTGCCAGCAATAGTTTAATTCCTAACCGCATGAATTTGAATTTTTTAATAAAAAAAACTGAAACTAATTAGAAATGCATAAAAATTATCAAAAGCTTCCTTTGCAGTGCACGTAAGAATTAAGATAGAGCTTATCTTTGCCCAAAGCTTAAAGAAGTTGATATACCAGCCAGCAATGCAACACAGTTTCTCATTCTTGTTTAGTACCAGCATGTACCTGTATCGTAATGAGAGGGAAAGAGGAGATTTCTTTAGAGTGGTCAACTGTTGGAACCAGTTGCCGCAGTTCTAAGCTAGGTGCAAAATCGCCAAGGTCATCTATGGCAGCAGTGCTTCGGCTTCTACAAATAATACTCCCTCTGCACTCCATATTATCTCAAGTCTACCATTTTTATCCCTTCCCAACTTCCCAACCTCCCAGCCAATGGGTGAAATGGCACAAGAATGTTGCTTAAAGTATCCTTGAGCAATCAGGATTCAAAGAAATTGGAAGAACAGGGGCGGAGCGTCCCCTTGTATGGCACCCGCCTACTCAAAATTTATGAAATTTTTTATATATTATATATTTTTTAATAATTTTTCAAAATAATTTTTATTAAATATTTAATATAATTAAAAAATAATAAAATAATTTCACAAATTTCATTTAATTTTATTTAAATTTTTAATTTTTAAATTTTTTAAATTTCTCTATTTATTTTTTTGACCTTTATATTGTGAAATTATAAAAAGATAAATTTTTTATTTAATTTTTTTCTTATATTATTATTATTATTATTTATTTGTTTCAATTCTATTATATTTGTTTATATATTTTAAATTTTTAAAAAATTTTTAAAAAATTTCTACAGATCATCAATTATATTTTTTTTGATTATATAAGTTATATCTTCTACTTGTCATGATTCTTTTTTTTGTTATGTGAATTTTATTTTTAATAATTTTAATTTTTAAAAATTAAAAAATTATTATATGTGTAATTCTCAAATATAAGTTTTAGTATTGCATTATTAGTTATTGTTTAAAATTTTATTAATATTTTATCTTTTATTAATCCTAATTATATAAGAAAAAATCATCTTGAGTATATGTTTTGAATATATTTTACATTTTATGTTTAATTGAAAGAAAATTATCTTGAGTATAAAAAGATATTATTAATTCTATATATCGTATTTAACTATTTATATTTTATGTATTATAGTTTAAT